GGCTTTTTAAGTACTCTCGCTCTTACGAGATCTGTTCCGAACCGGTTTGCATCCGCGTGGCCGCACATCTCAGTGGGCCCCGCTCACATTGCGAGGATGGGGGGGCACACAAGCGGGGTGCGTCACCCACTAGCGTCACGCATACTGTTGGGCAGCCGAGGATGTGGATGCACACGCGAGGTTGGTTCTCTGTTGCGGAGAATTCGAGTGCGGAGTGAAGATGGAGAAAAGCAGTGCCGAGTTTGCAATCCCCGGTTTCTTTTGGTTCGGCGATCTTGGCTGCCGCCGCCTGCGGTTTCTCCTCCATCCATCCACATGCTTTTTTTTTTCCTTTACCCCGGCGGAGGCGGAGTGGAGGCGGAGGGCGGAGAAATCGGCGAAACCTTCAGCCAGTAAGGAAAAAAAGGGCATCTCGGCTACCAACACTTTGCAACTCTCGCTTATCTTCGCCTTGCCTTGCCGATCCACCCGCTCAGCAGGATGATGACATGCTCTCGACAGACTCCGCCGCGCATCTGCTGCTTTCTTTCGGTCTTGCCCGCTGCTAGTCGGTGCGCCCTCACACACGCACACCGGCTTCATCGGCTTGCTCATCCACCGGTCGTCGGTGCATCTGCGTTACCGCGCTTTGCTCACACACACGCACATGGCTGCGGACAACGTGGCACGTTTGAATTTCACGTCCAAGGGGCATTCAAAAGTCGTAGCCCACCTCTCGCACACCTGGGGCCGATGCTGGCGGGGCCACAAAGTCGGTGAGGTCAAACTGGGCGATATCGCGCTTGGCGCACTTGGCTGCCAGGTCGGACCGGTTCAACAGCTCCAGTGCCACCCTGAATGTCTCCCACAAGCTTCCGCTCGTGGCGCTGCCCTTGCCACCGGCCGTTCCGAGCGTTTCGGCTTCGGCCTGCTGCAGCGTAAGCGCCGTGTAAATGTGCTCGGCCGCATCCTGGTACATCTTGAGGTTGAGGCACGAGATGGACAGATTAAAGTGGCAGCGCACGAATTCGGGCTGCAGGTTGAGTGCGTGGTGGTAGTACTGAATCGCCTCGGCACTTCGCCCCGAGTTGGACAGCGTCGCACCGAGCCGGTTGTACAACAGCCAGTCCTGCGGACGCACCGAGAGCGCCGTGGAGAAACAGTCGACCGCCTTGTCGTAGTCCTCGCTCGAGTTAAAGATGACGCCGAGCGCGACCTGGACGTCGGCATCGATCTCGCCGCTCTCGCCACCGCTCTGCACCATGGCGATGAGCAGCTTGGTGAGCCGCGTGTGCTTTTCCGTCACGGAAGCCGAGGTGCTGTGCGACGACACACTATCGCTACGGTCGCGACCCGTAGCTGCTGTGGCACGCGCCAGCTCGGCGTCGGCACGCATCACCACGTCGCGGTACTTTTCGTTGCCCTCGATCCAGCGTTCGATGGCCTCGTACGCCGCGCTGCGGTCGTTCTCGTTGGTGTAGCTCACCGCGAGCGCGAGCCAGGCATCCTTGAGACTCGCATCCAGCTCGAGCGCCTTGCGCAGCGCCGCGATCGCCTGCACCTCGCGCTCGTTCTCCTGCTGCTTGACGCCCAGGTCGAACCACGCCGATGCATCGTGCGGATCCTGCTGCACCGCCGCCTCCTTCTCCAGCACCGACTCTAACCCCGCAGGCAGCCCACCCGCGTGCTGCGCATGGTGGAACGTCGACGCAATGTACGGATTGTCGCTCAGGAAGCGGTACGCCGGCGCAGGCTGTGTCATGGTCGTCGTCGAGGCGCCACGCTGCGGCAGCGTCACGGGTCGGATCCCCGCCGAGGTCACCTCAAAGTCGTCCCAGTCGTTTTGCAGTTTATCCCACTCGGCGGTCTGGGCGCCCGGATAGCCGCGGCCCTGGGTGCCCTGCCATCGGCGGCCGACAAAGTCGAGCTCGTCGTCGTCGTCCATCTGGTCTTGAGCGCCGCGGTTCATGTCCTCCTCCCAGCGTCGGTTGAAGGTGCTGGCATGCGGGATGTTGGCACCCAGGCGCTGGTATCGCTCAAACTCGCGCGCGTCGGCGTCGTCCTCGCGCATGCGCTCCGCCACGTCGCCGCCATCTCCCACAAACGCAGCACGTGCGCTCTCGGCCATGGCCTGGCGTTCGATCGCCTCGCTGCGGGCATCTTCCTCGGCCCAAAGATCATTGAGCGCCTGGCGGTTCTGGATCTCCTGCTGGGTGCGTACGGATTCGGGCAAGTCGGCGCGCTGACCGAAGTTGTTGCCGAGCGACTTTTGCACGCTGGGTGGCAGCTGTTGCATGTTGCCCGACGCGGCCATCTGGTTGGCCCAGTTGTACGCCTCCTGCTGCGACTGCGGCTGGGCAGCCGAGGTAGAGGCGCCGAGGTCGCGCGCCTTGCCCTTGGCAATGTCGGAGCTCTCGACGATGTTGTCGCCCTGGATGCCCGCCTGCTTGTCGCGGATCTTGCGCATGAGGTCGAGGAAGTTGCTCTGGCGGAACTTGGAGCTGCTGTCGTGCTCGACCGACTCGACGAGCCTGCCGGCGGTGCGTGCGAGCTCGTCGCGCTCGTGCGGATCCGAGTAGTCGGCCTTTTCGAGTGGCTTGGAGTCGACGGCCATGGGTTCGTTGACCACCGAAGCCGAGGAGGTGGAGGCTTCAAAGGCGGTGAATGCCTCTGCCCACTTTGCATTGTCGAGCTGGGGTGCTGGAGTGGCTTGCACGGTGTGTTGCTGCTGCATGGGGCTGGGAGCGTACTGCATGTTGTTCATGGACGAGGGCATCATGCCCATCCTGAGGCCCATGGGGATGACGTTGGGATGGATGGCATGCGCGGCGTGCGGCTCGGCATGCATCTGGTGCGCCGGCTGCTGCGACTGCATCTTGGACTGCGAAGCTTCTGCGCTGAGGAAATCGCTCGCCCAAGCCGAGGGCGCTTGTCGCGGAGCTTGCTGGATGGTGGTGTTGCGCGAGAATGCAGGCCGAAAGCTGGCCTCCATGTCTGCCATGGTGGGTGCGGGCGATGCGCGGTGCTGGGTCTGCATGGGAGCGCGCGATCCGCTGGGCAGGTTGCCGCGCAGCTGCGACACGTCGAATGCATCGTGCGCGCCAAAGCCAGCATGCTGAGCCTGCTGGGGAGCATTGAAGAAGGCAGGCTGATGTTGATGCTGCTGGGAGGAGGATGCCGAGCGAAACGAAGGTGCCTGCTGCTGCTGCTGCGCAAAGGGCGTGTTGGCAAACGAGTCTTGCTGCGCACCGCGATCCTGGCCGAAACGCTTGCCGATGTTCTGGAGCGGGTTGGACGGCCCGCAACCCGCGCCGCCCGAGACGAGGTCGGACAGCGACATGTCGGTCGAACGGTCGATCGTGTGTCGATGCGTGGTTGAAGGTGGTGGTGGTGGTAAAGTGGAAGGAAAGGTTGATTGCCGGGGGTGGCAAAGCCGGGTGCACCGGGACGCCGGCCGAATCCGAAACTCGCCCAACGCTTTAGTCGCCCGACAGGTGTCGCTTCGGCTCATTTCACGCGCGAGCCGGGCGGTCCCCCAAAAAAAGACGCTTTTGGGATGTTAGGCCATTCTTCCCAACAAATTGGCTTTGATACTCGCACCTGGACCCTTGCATACGAGCGGACTCAGCTGCAGCTCCACCTCCTGGCAAGCATCAGTCTGCTGAGAGAGAGAGAGAGAGAGAGTCGTCCATTTCCGCTCACATGTGCACCGGGAGAAACGAGAGAGAGAGAGAGACGAGCTGCGTTCGGGCACAAGGCAGGATGCGATTTCTGGACAACGACGGATCAACAACGAAACAAGACTGCGCATCGATACGGCATGCTCGCTTTGGGGGCGGGCGAGCTTAAGCATCTTGGGGGAGGATGCCTTTCTGTCGGAGTTCTTCGGGGTGAGGACGATGTTCGAGCTCCTTCTGAAGCGAGTTTCCGAGTCGGGCTCGTTCGAGTTCCTCCTTCTTTCCCTGCAGGGCGGGAGCTACACTCTGATCCTTCAAGATGCCCCTATTGACCAGCTCATCCTTTTCGGGTCGTCGCTCGAGTCTGCCTTCGAGTTTGTCCGTCAGCTGCGACTTTTGCAGCTCCTCTCGCTTGGCCTGCAGTGCCGGAGCGACACTCTGATCCTTCAAAATACCCCGATTGACAAGGTCGTCCTTTTCGGGTCGTCGTTCCAGACGGCCTTCGAGTTTGTCGGCGAGTTGCGACTTTTGCAGCTCGTCACGTCTGGCCTGGAGCGCAGGCGCAAGGTTGCCGGGCTTGAGGATGTTGCGTTCCTCCAGCTCGTGCCGATCCGGTCGATGTCCCAAGCTGCGTTCCAGACGCGCCCGATCCGTGTCCGTCAGTGGGCTCTTGGGCGCTCCCTCCGCTGCGGAACCACCTGCATTCGCTGCTCCAATGTCGAGATCACCGAGTGTAGACATCGTAGCCCAAGTGACAATCAAGTGTCGGATGTGTGCGGGATGGAGGAGGAGGAGAGAGGAGCGAGGGGCCGAGAGAGTCGAGCGGTGGCGCGTTTCACGGGCTCCTTTAAATCCATGTGGGGCGCAGTCAATATCCACACCCGCATGACGCACGGGACACCTTTCCGCCCTGCTGCGCTGCCGCCGCTTTGCCCCTCCACTGCGAGTTTTAGGAGCGGCTGCACCCTGGCAGAGCTGCATGCCCAAATCCCAACACCCTGCCAGCAACGCATCCGCTTCATCTAAACGCCATACGCGCACGGTGACTGGCCATGGTCATTGCTACTCAACCTGACGATGGTGTGATTGAATAAGATACACTGCGCCTCACGATGCGGCGGCGAGCGGCTTGTCGTCGTCGCTGTCGCTGTCGCTGCTCATGCTGCTGTCGCTCTCCTTCTCCTCGGCCTTGTCCACCGCCTTGAGCGGCTGGCTCCGCTTCTTGTCCGCCGCCGTCTGCGGCTTGAGCGTGCCGTTGGCCGCGCGCTGCTTCACCTCGCTCGTCTCGGCCGCATCGGTCATGGCGACCATCGAGCCGCCGTCCTGGCCCTTGCGCTCCGCCGAATCCAGCTTGCGCATCTTGCCCTGCGCGTCCTTGACAAACACCCACCGCGCCGAAATGTCGCGCCCGTCGTCGCCCGACGCCGCCCACTTGAACTTCTTCTGCAGCGAAGCCGCAAAGAACTGGCTGATGTTCATCACCTGCAGCCCCAGCTCCATCTTTTCGCTGTCGCCCGTCGAGTTGGCCGTGCCCGTCTTGGCCTTCTTGCCCGCAGCAGCGGCAGCACCTCCCTTCTTGCCACCCTTCTTGGCCGGCTTGACGTCCTCCTCCTCTTCCTCCTCCTCCTTCTTGACCGCCTTCTTCTTGCCTGCTGCATTCTTGCCCAGGCCCATGTCGACGAGCCGGTCGTCCCACTGCTTGAGCCAGGCGAGCGTAATACGCGGGTCAATGTAGTTGAGCTTGGACGTGCTCAGCGCCACGTCCGAGGTGTTGTTCTTGTTGACCAGCTCCGCCTCCTGTTTGCGGATCATGTCGTGCTTGCCCAGGATCTTTTTGGCCGAGCTCGCAAAGTTGCAGCTGGCCGCCTGCGACTTGTTGGTCTTGCGCTCCTTCTCCAGCCGCTTGGCCGTCTCGCTGAGCGCCTTCAGCTCGTCGTCCACCTGCTTCTTGTCCTTGAACCCCTTGATCGACGACCGCACCTCCTCCTCGACGTCCTTGGCCTTCTTGCCCTTCTTCTTGGTGCCGTCCTCGCTCGCGACACCCTTCTGCTCGAGCTGGTACTGCACCTCGGACTGCTGACGCTTGAACGTCGACTCGAGCTTCGCCTTCTTGTCGCTGATCAGGCGCTCCTCGTACTCCTTGACCTTGTCCGCATCGAGCTCCTGCTTCTGCATGATCAGGTCAAACTGCTTCATAAACGGAAACTCCTTGGCCTTGAACTCCTTCTTGAGCTCGCCGATCTTGTGGAACGTGAGGATCTTTTGCTGCTCCTTCATGATCTCGTACCGGATCTGGAAGATCTTTTCCTGCGTGCGTTCGAGGTTGCGGTTGAGCAGCATCGGATTCACCGTCTTTTGATGGTTGCACAGGATCGCCACCTGTCGGTTGGCCTCGTTGTACGCCAGGCGCAGGTTGGTCTGGTTGATCTCGCGTTCGGCCTTGTTGGGACGCGACTTGAGCCACTCTTCGGTCTGCTCGAGCAGGCCCTGGAAGGTGACCGAGGCGTTGTAGGTACGGAAGACCTTGGCGCTGAGGCCCTTCATGTACTTGGAGAGGAAGGTGTTGACGGCGTTGGGCTGCAGCGGCTGCATCTTGCCGGCGGCCGAGTCGCCGGGCGCGCAGAAGATGGGGTCGTTGGGTTTCTTGCGCACATAGTTGCCCGACTTGTCCTTCATGCCGTTGGTCTTGAGGAACATGGTGATGTTCTTGAAGACGTCCGGATTGGTGATCTTGAGATCCTCTTCGAACTTCATCGAGTCCTTGCCGAGGAATTCGAGGTGGATGGTGTCGGGCATCTTGACCTGGGCGTGCTCGCAGCGGAGGGAGCAGACGCCGTAGGTTTCCGCCTCATCTTCGCCCTTTTCGTTGCCGGCACGTAGGGAGAAGTTGTCGATGAGCCAGACGATGGTGGCGATCTGGCGCTCGTTGCGCACCTTGGACTTGAGGTTCTTGTTGACGTCGCGACGGATCTGCTTGACGACCGTGTCGAGCTTGCGCGCCTTTTCGAACTTTTCGCGGTCCGAGTTGGTCTTGAAGTTGGAGGTGGCGTCGAGGAAGACGTACTTGTACTGACCGTTGATGTTTTCCTTCCAGTAGGCGAGCCAGGTGACGTCCTTCTTCTCCACCACTTCGGCCCAGTCGCCGAGGCCGGGCGGTGGCGAGGGGGCGGGATGCTTGGCGCTGTGGTTGATGGTGATGTCGCCTGGGTAGATGCGGCGCTTGACCTTGCCGGCCTTGGGGTGGGCGCCGCGGCCGAGGAAGAGGCCGGGTGGTTCGACGTTGACGTTGCCGACGCGCTGTTCGACGCCGTCTACGAGGCAGATCTTCCAGGTGTTCTCCTCGACTTTGCGCGCCTCGATCTCGCGCTTGCGTGCCGAGGGGGCGAGCGCCTTTTTGCGTTCGTTCTCTGCGTCCTTGAGGCTCCTCCAGTAGTTGTACATGTCGCGGAAGTCGAGCTTGTCGAACGACTTGATCTGGGTGCCGTCTCTTGGCGGAAACTTTTTGAGATCGGCGGTGAAGTCGTCGAAGAAGTTGCGGTTGAAGATTGGGTTTTGGGCGTGCTGGGTCTCGATCTTGACGGCGTAGAACATGGCGACCTCCTCTGTCTCTGGGGGCAAGTCTACGGGCTTGCCGTCGTACTTGAGCTTGACGCCCTTGGGGAGCGGCTGGTAGGGGTCGGGGAAGCGCGGGCCCTTGTGTACTAACACGTCCCACTTTTTCTCGCCGGAGCCGGTGATGGACATGGTCTTTGGCGGTTTGCGATTTGACTTTGCCGTGCGGCTGAGCGGCTTGTCGTCGTCGTCGTCGTCGTCATCATCATCGTTGTCGTCATCGCCGCCGTCATCGTCCTCCTCCTCCTCTTCGTCGTCATCGTCGCCTGCGCTGCCGGAGTCGCTCCTCTTCTTGACGGTGGCTGTGAGTGGGGCGTCCGAGTCGTCATCCGAGTCGTCGTCGTCGTCGTCGTCGTCGTCGTCATCCTCTTGCTTCTTGACGCCGTTTTGGGATGAGACGGTGGAGGTGAGCGGGACGTCGGAATCCGAGTCGCTGGATAGGTCGCTCTCTTCCTCTACCTTTGGACGTTTTGCAAGTGGCTTGTCGTCGTCATCGTCGTCGGAGCTGTCATCGGAGTTTGCCGGAAGACTAGGCTTTGCTGGACGCTTTGCGTGTCCATTTGTCGCGACGCCGATGCTGGAGCCGGAGCCAGAACCGGAGCCGGAAGCGATGGGAGTGGGCATTGGCTCGTCCTTGATGTGTAGGCTCGTCATTGCGATGTGGAGTGAGTGTTGGATGTGCCGATGGTTGTTGGTTCAAGTGCGCGAGTACGAATTCGGGATGGCTTTTTCGTGAGCAGGTGTTGTTATCTGCGCCAGAGCAGCTGGACGGCAGCAGCTTGAGAGCTTGAGAGCTTGAGAGCTTCAGAGCTTCAGAGGCGTGAGTTCATGAAAAGCGTGGGAGCGGCAGTCCCGCGGTGTGACGGAGTGCGAGGGCGAGTCGGGGCGTGTGATTAGAAGAGGTATGAAGGTGACGATTCAAGGGGCGCGCTGGCTGGCTGTGGATGTGATGGTTGCGAGGAGAGGGCGCAATCCTGGGCTTGAGCCGCGCTGCGTCGTGTGGATTGAGGCGCGAGCTCAAGACGGACTAGCCGAAACGAGGCCACTCGTCAATGTTCGCGGCACGAGCGTGTCGGTCTCAGCAAAAGAAGGCGCCTTCGCCGACCGCTTTCGGGGCTGAGAGTGGTGCAGCTTCCAATTTTTTTTTTTACGACGCGTGGAGGTTTGGGCGCGACGTCACTCTGCCACCACCGAGGTAGGTTGCGGTTGTTGGTCGGTTGAGCCGCCGCGCGTTCGTAGGATGACCCGCTGCGCTTTGGCTCGACTCCCACAGCCACAGTCGATGAGTCCCACTCGAAGCTGCATGGTTGCTCATCAACGGTCCCCATCCGACGCCGCACCATTCAGCTCGAGCGCCCACTTTGCGTGGCTTTTATCTATATGATTTGGTTGGCCCTTATGACAGAGGGGAGCGGGCCACTGCCAAATGCGTCTTTGCTGCCCTTTGACGCGTCTCGGCCCGCGGCATGAAATTGGATGTCTTTCGTGCGATAAAAGCTGGAATTGCTCGTCGGCTCCGCTCGAGACTGGCCGTGAGCGGGAGTTGCGCTCCACACCTGATCTCCAACCGCCCGGACGCTGCTATCCCACTCTCCATCGTATCATCCCAGCCTCCGCACTCGACGATCAATAGGTAAGTGCCGCCCACACACACACACGTTCCCATCGCTGAAGCTGGGCTGACCTCTCCTACTGCTGGCTATACGACAGTTCAACATGCCGCAGCTGTACCGTGATCCTTGGGCGAAGCGCGAGGCGTGGCGCAAGCATCCCGTCTTCTCGCATCGCTTCTTCGCACGCAACATCTTCCCTGGATTCGGTCTCGGCCTCGGCGCCTTCGCCGTCTACCTCGCCGTGGACACGCTCACACATCCTTCCAACATCGAAAAGCTCAAGGAGGACGCGCGCAAGCAGACCGGCCGCGACCACTAGCTGCCGACTACACGCCAATCTACACTCTCTTCTCTCCGTCTCTTTCTCTCCTTTGTCCACAGTGCGAATGAGCTTCGTTTCGGGTGCGCATGCAGCATGCTGGTTTCGAGGCCTGTCGATACCATTCAGGAAACCGAAGGAGTTGGACCTGCCAGAGCCACATGTCAAACTGCTCGCAGATGCAGGCAGAGGCTCCGGCCATCAGCATCCGATCGACATTGGACGCGCCGATGCTGCATCGACCGATCGATTTTCTCTCAGCACTGTTACTTCCTCCATTTCGACAAACCCGGATAAAATTCGCCGGCCCGCGTGTCAATCACGCCATTTGGCTGTCCAGATGCGCCTTGGCCGTGGCTGCACCTCTGCCGCGATGAACGAGTGCAGCCGTCCATGCAGCCATGCAGCCGACAAATGCGCGGTTGAGTCATGTCCAACCTGCCAACACCGGTCGCCATCCTCGAGACTCCAACACTTGGTTTGCATTGCACCGATGCTACGGCAATGAGCGCAATTATACGCTCAGCTCAGGTCGTAATGAATCCAAGAGAAAGAATAAGGGCAAACGACGATGGGCGATGGGAGGCGGGGTGGAGAAGAGGGCGAGACGAAGCGCCATCTAACCGCTAGGCACGCACGCGGCTGATGGCGGCGATAAAACAATGCGACGTTTTCACAGCTGCCGGCCGTCCAGCAGTTCTTCGCGACGATCTTCCCTCCGCCCTCCGCTCCTCCCAGCCACGGGAGCGAGCAGCCGAGGCTCATCTTTTGGCCCTCGAAATTTCCGATCCCTGGCGAGTCCGTGCCAAGCCGAGCCTGTCCCCACCGAACGGTTGAGAAGAATGACGCCTTGTCCACCGCAGCCGGCTCCTCGAGAGGATCCAGTGTGTCGTCTTCCTTGCGCTCCTTCACCTCCCCACCACCTTGCCCTTCGTCTTCCATCTCCCCCTCCATCCCCTTTTCCACATAATCAACATGGCCAACGCTCCTCACGGTGGTGTGCTCAAGGATCTGCTCGTGCGCGATGCTCCCATCGCGGCGCAGCTGCGCGCCGAGGCGGACACGCTCCCCGAGCTCGTGCTCACCGAGCGTCAGCTCTGCGATCTCGAGCTCATCATCAACGGCGGCTTCTCCCCGCTCCAGGGCTTCATGAACCAGGCCGACTACAACGGCTGCCTCGACAACATGCGTCTCACCGACGGCAACCTCTTCCCCATGCCCATCACCCTCGACGTCGACCAGGCGCAGATCCAGGCGCTCGGCATCGCCCAGGGCGCCCGCATCGCGCTGCGCGACCCTCGCGACGACAACGCCATCGCCACCATCACCGTCACCGACGTCTATGCCGTCGACAAGGTGCGCGAGGCCAAGGCCGTCTTCGGCTCCGACGACCTCGCGCATCCCGCCATCACCTACCTCCACAAGAGCGTCAAGCAGTTCTACGTCGGCGGCGAGGTCCAGGCGATCTCCAAGCCCAACTACTACGACTACGCCGAGCTCCGATACACGCCCGCCGAGCTGCGTCAGCACTTTGCCAAGATCGCTTGGCGCAAGGTCGTCGCCTTCCAGACGCGCAACCCCATGCACCGCGCCCACCGCGAGCTCACCGTGCGCGCCGCGCGCCAGCGCCAGGCCAACGTGCTCATCCACCCCGTCGTCGGCATGACCAAGCCCGGCGACGTGGACCACTACACGCGCGTGCGTGTCTACCAGTCGCTCATGCCCCGCTACCCGAACGGCATGGCCACGCTCGCCCTGCTCCCGCTCGCCATGCGCATGGGTGGCCCGCGCGAGGCGCTCTGGCACGCCATCATCCGCAAGAACTTTGGCGTCACCCACTTCATCGTCGGTCGTGACCACGCCGGTCCCGGCAAGGACTCGAGCGGCAAGGACTTCTACGGCCCCTACGATGCGCAGACGCTCGTCACCAAGTACACCGAAGAGCTTGGCATCGAGATGGTGCCCTTCCAGCAGATGACCTACATCCCCTCCACCGACGAGTACCAGCCCGTCGACGAGGTCACGCCGGGCACCCAGACCATGGACATTTCCGGCACCGAGCTCCGTCGCCGTCTGCGCACCGGCGCGGCGATCCCCGACTGGTTCTCGTACGAGTCGGTGGTCAAGACGCTGCGCGAGTCGTACCCGCCCAAGGCCAAGCAGGGCTTTACGCTCTTCCTTACCGGCCTGCACAACTCGGGCAAGGACCAGATCGCACGTGCCCTGCAGGTCAAGCTCAACGAGCAGGGTGGTCGTTCGGTCTCGCTGCTTCTGGGCGAGACGGTTCGATCCGAGCTTTCGTCCGAGCTCGGTTTCAGTCCGGAGGACAGGCAGAAGAACATCCAGCGTATCGCGTTTGTTGCTGCCGAGCTCACGCGCGCTGGTGCGGCTGTGATCGCTGCGCCCATTGCGCCGTACGAGAAGTCGCGTTCGGCTGCTAGGGACACCATCGCCAAGACGGGTGGTGCGGGCAACTTTTTCCTCATCCACGTCGCCACCCCGCTCGAGTTCTGCGAAAAGACCGACAGGAAGGGCAACTACGCCAACGCGCGCGCCGGCAACATCAAGGGCTTCACCGGCGTCGACGACGTCTACGAGGAGCCCACCGATGCCGACCTCGTCGTCGACATCAGCACCCAGTCTGTCGCCGAGATCACCCACTCCATCATCCTCCTCCTCGAGGCCCAGTCGCTTATCTAGGCGGTCAAACTGCGGTGACCAAAATTTTGCTTCAATGCTAGAGTCGTGTTGCGGTCAAGTCTGTCAACCGCGTGCGTCTGTCGCTTTGAGGTGTGCAAGTGTCGTTGCTCTCGAAATTTGAGCCAATGAGCTTTGGGTCGATGCGATCGTCCAGTCAAGACGCAGTGGGTGAGACGTATTTGGCTGTGCGAAAAGTCGATGTGCAGCGTGGTCGGGACGGCGCATGGTTGTCGGGCGGTTTGCACTTGGCGAGAGTCGCGCTCGATTGTGAAGCGCCACGCTGCTGCCAAAGGGCTTTGGCGTGATGGCGCGGGACCTTAGGAGGTGCAACTTGATCGCCGCTTGGAGTGGGCACTAATCCGAAGCGGGCGTGCGGGGGATGCCATCATAAGAAGATGCGGCACGTCGAAAGCGATGCAGAGCTCAGCGGTGACTGCGTGGTGGCGTCGCCAGCCCGTCGCACGTCCAGAGCGCAGTGTCTTCTTCATCTCCGCACTCCATCTCCGCTTTCATCGGGCGCAAAGTTTTGCGAAACGTCGATAGCGGTCCGCTCGCAGAAGATTTGCAATCTCATGCATCGCCACTCGTTGCATCCCTGCCATCAGCCGATACTACCGCAGAGCCGTCATCCGCTCATCCTCCGCGCACACCGCTTTGCACTACCACATTCGAGCAAGAACTAACTGGAGACCGAACTGGATTACCATTTCCAAAGCAAAACGAAAGTATTCAAGACGCAATCAAAAGAAAGTGTGTGTGTGTGTTATCAAAGCGAAAGGTTTGTTGGGGTGAGGGGGGGGATCCGGTAGCCACGATCCTTTTAGTCCAGGCAGGCCCGTAAATCCGCTGCTGTGTTGCGCGCAAGGGTTTAGGCGCGGATGGTGTTCCACCTCCTAGCGGCGCCGATGGGCGTGGCGCCCCTTCGCAGCTTGATGTGGAAGTTGTCACCGGTTCCGGGGAGACCCAGGTCGAGTCCGAGGCCCGTGCCGACGATGACGTTTCCGTTTCCGTGTCCACTGCCGCTCTGGTTGGAGCCGACGGACTGGCCGTTACCGATGATGATGTTGCCGTTGCCGTTGCCCGAGCCCGAGTTGCCACTTCCCACCGAGTTGCCACTGCCAAGGATCAGGTTCGCATTGCCGTTGCCCGTTCCCTGTCCACTTCCACTCGAGCCATTGCCGTTGTTGCTTCCAACCTGGTTGTTGCCCAGCGAGAGGTTGCCGTTTCCATCCGCAGAACCGTTACCCGACCCAGCATTGCCGTTGCCGTTGTTGGAGCCAATCTGGCCGCCACCAAGGTTCAGGTTGCCGTTAAGGATGCCGTTACCCGAGCCCGAGTTGTTGTTGCCGTTGTTGCTACCCGCACCCGAGGCAAGGTTGGCGTTTCCGTCTCCAACACCGTTGAGAGCACCCGAGTTCTGGTTACCGTTGTTGTCACCGTTGCCCGAGCCAGCGTTCAGGTTGCCGTCAGCGACACCGTTGGCAGCACCGGTGTTGGAGTTGCCATTGTTGTCGCCGTTGTTCGAGCCCAGGTTGGCGTTACCGTCAGCGACACCGTTGGCAGAGCCAGGGTTGTTGTTGCCGTTGTTGTCACCGTTGCCCGAACCCAGGTTGGCGTTACCGTCAGCGACACCGTTGGCAGAGCCGGCATTGGCGTTACCGTTCTGGTTTCCGTTGTTCGAGCCGAGGTTGGCGTTACCGTCAGCAACACCGTTGAGCGAGCCGCTGTTACCGTTGCCGTTCTTGTCGCCGTTGTTGGATCCAGCGTTGAGGTTGCCATCCGCAACACCGTTGGCCGAGCCCGAGTTGTTGTTGCCATTCTGGTCGCCGTTACCGGAGCCAAGGTTGGCGTTGCCATCGGCAACACCGTTGGCCGAGCCCGAGTTGCTGTTGCCGTTCTGGTTTCCATTGTTGGAGCCGAGGTTGGCGTTGCCGTCGGCGACACCGTTGAGCGAACCGCTGTTGCCGTTGCCATTCTGGTTGCCGTTGTTGGAGCCGGCGTTGAGGTTGCCGTCAACAATGCCGTTGCCCGAACCCGAGTTGTTGTTGCCGTTCTGGTTGCCGTTGTTGGAACCCAGGTTGGCGTTGCCGTCGAGGTCGCCGTTGCCCGAGCCCGAGTTGTTGTTGCCATTCTGGTTGCCGTTGTTCGATCCGGCATTCAGGTTGCCGTTGCCGGTACCATCAAGGCTGCCCGAGTTGTTGTTGCCGTTGCCGTTACCGTTGTTCGAGCCAAGGTTACCGTTGCCATTGAGCGAACCGTCCAGGCTTCCAGAGTTGTTGTTGCCGTTATTGTTGCCGTTGTTCGAGCCGGCGTTCAGGTTGCCGTTGCCCGTGCCGTCGAGGCTGCCAGAGTTGTTGTTGCCATTGTTGTTGCCGTTGTTGGAACCGAGGTTGCCGTTGCCGTTGAGCGAACCGTCGAGCGAACCGGAGTTGTTGTTTCCGTTGTTGTTGCCGTTGTTCGACCCGAGGTTGCCGTTGCCGTTGCCAACGCCGTTGCCGGTTCCGGAGTTGCCGTTGCCGTTGTTGCCTCCGTTACCGCCGCCGGTGTTGCCACCGCCATTGCCGCCTCCGTTACCGCCGCCGGTGTTGCCTCCGCCGTTGTTTCCGCCGTTGGAGCCACCGCCGTTGGATCCGCCACCGTTGGAACCGCCGTTGCTACCACCGTTGGAACCTCCGTTGGAACCGCCGTTGGAGCCACCGTTCGAGCCGCCATTGGAGCCGCCGTTGGAACCGCCGTTGGAGCCACCGTTCGASCCGCCATTGGAGCCGCCGTTGGAACCGCCGTTGGAGCCACCATTCGAGCCGCCGTTGCTACCTCCATCATGGCCGCCGTTCGAACCACCGTTGGAGCCGCCGTTGGAGCCGCCGTTGGAGCCGCCGTTGAAGCCACCGTTGGAGCCACCGTTCGAGCCACCGTTCGAGCCGCCGTTGGAGCCACCAGTGCTGCCACCGTTGGAGCCGCCGTTGGAGCCGCCGTTGGAGCCGCCGTTGAAGCCACCGTTGGAGCCACCGTTCGAGCCACCGTTCGAGCCGCCGTTGGAGCCACCAGTGCTGCCACCGTGCGAGCCCCCGGAGCCGGAGCCAGAGTCGCCGCCCTTACCGCCCGAGCCGGAACCCGAACCCGAGCCCGAACCAGAGCCGGAGCCGGAGCCGGAACCCGAACCGGAACCGCCCCAGCCGGATCCAGCGCCGTTGCCGCCGCCGTTGCCCCAGTTAGGAGCGCCGCCCCAAGGCACGGTGGTGCAGGTGCAGTAGCATCCTGCGAGCGGAGCCTGCGAGTAGGTGGGCACGGGGAAGGACTGGGGGACAGGCACGGCCTGGGTGGCGTTTGCGGCGGGCGGGGCACACGTTCCGCTGTCAGCCGAAACGAGCGAGAGGGAAGCCAGCACCAACGCCGACGCCGAGATCTTGATCTTCATTGTGAGCGGCGAGAAGAAGGGAGGTGTAGGGGCTCTTGGAAGGAAGAGTTGAGGCGATGATGAGAAAAGGAGGTGGGGGGATGGGGGAGCCAATGTCGGGTGTTTTATATCGATGAACTCGCACGAGCGACGATCCGTCGATCAAGGGGGGGAGAGAGCACTTTTCGGTTCAAGGCACTGTGACCCGTTCAGACGCCTCAAGGAGGCGGCTGCTGTCAAGAGTAGCTTGTTTCGAACAGCGCAAGTACCTCCGCCGCAACCTCGAGGAGGGGCCAAGGCAAGATCGAGGGGCGTCCCGTCTTGCTAAGCGAAGCATTCACACGCCAGGACGCTAGCGCGGAAGCGACCATCTCGAGCCGCACATTGTCGGGACGGCGCCTAAACCGCCAACAATGGGTGGGTTGCGAGCGGCTGTGCGTCTCATCTGGGCAACCTGTGGGCGGGCGCGCCGGTGCTTGGCGGTTTGCCGTGTCTCGGAGCCGCCTCTGCGCCCATTCACGGCAGTGTATGCGCAAGGGATTGTCGGAGGGCGCCAATGATTGGTGACCATTGGGGTTCTGGAAAGAAAGAAGAAATGTCTCAGCTTGTGCATTGTGGTGGATGTGGGTGGGTAAGAGTAACGACGACTCCGACTGCAGAGCAGGGGGGTCAAGTGCATGTGCGAAACCGTCCGGCGTCCGGCGTAGGAAAGCGCCTAAGCATACACGCTAGGGTGGAAGCGAGGAGAGAGAGAGAGACAGAGAGAGAGAGAGAGAGAGAAAGTTTGAAGGTCCGATGGGAGAATGGGGGAGAGGGAGCTAGTGTGTGGGGAGAAGGATCAGGAACTTGGATCTACACGATGCATGCAGCGGCAGAGCAAGAGAGGCGGGTGTACCTTTGCAGAAGTCGACAGCTGGGCGTCGATCTTGTGGATTGGCCGTGTTTCAGCCGCTCTGGTGCCAGGCAGCAACGCGGCGAGGCTGTCTCGCCTAAGCTGGCACTGTGCAGCCTCCAGCCACCTTTTGCGCGCTCGCTTAGCGCCCGCCAGGGACGATGCCGGCACGACGATCTCGCTCCCATTGGCCGTTTTTCCATGCAGGTACCCCCAGTCGCTCTCCTTGTGCCGTCTGGCGGCTAGGGTTGCGTGCTCGCTACCACCCAATTCGCGGGGCAACTGTACGCATCCCGCGCGCGGCGTGCCAACTCTTTCTTCATTTGCTTGCTTGCCGCACAACCCTTGTTTAGCTCAGGGGGGTGTAGACCTGCATACACGCCCATACCTCCAAGCTAACGTGTTGTAAAAATCGAACCGCTCGAACCTTCTCTAGCGTGTCTGTCGGTCATGCCCATGATTCGCCGCGGGCTGAGAGCTGAGATGGCGGGGGAGGGGGTGGGCTGACATCTGCTTGACGGCCGAGAGTGTGTGTGTCGCACTTCAGCCCCGCGCTGTCAGCGTTAGCGAGCTTTGGGCGCCGGCAAAGCGGAGTTTGGAGCAGCAGAGCAAGGAGGCGCAACCCCGACGAATTACAGCCCCCC